AAAAAAAAGTTTCCCAGAGCCACTTTATCACTCTATAATGTTTTATAGTTTTCATTGACTTTATTATCATCTTATACCATCTGTCTCCTCTCACTAGAATGTAAGCTTCATGAGAGTAGGGACCACGTTTGTCTTGTTCTCAGTCCAATGCCTAGTGCACATTAGCCACTCAAATCAACTTTAGCTCTTTGCTTTTCTTTCCTGTCCTTTGTCAACCAAAGGTCACTGCCACCAATTCAACGCCAACAGGAGTCCCCAATTTAGGATGCAGTACAGAAGAGACTTTATTTAGTAAAACAGCTCAAGTGTTGTACCTTAGGTATTGCAAATCAGTTTGCAAACCTGGGAAACAGCCGAAGTGTTCAGCTAGCTAAGGCAGAGACAAGACTGGCTTATATAGAGAAGAGTGCCTGCCCCCTGGTTCCTGATTGATCCATTTCCATGCAAATAAGGAATCCAAATTCAGTTTGGTTGATCCATAGGCTCCACGTGTTCTGATTGGTCAGTAAATATGCAAATTAGGATATATTTGCACAGCTCCAATTGGATAGGGTATTCAGTCCATTAGCTGAATTACAGTCCTAGAAGCCCTTTTATAAGGGTGGACTGGGATGGCAGGGACACATAACAGGAAGCTGGCAGATCAGTTTGCAGATTTTCCCTGATATGCAGTGTGCAGGAGGGACCTGTGTAAACAATGGCTGCTACACTCTGGTTGTGAATTTGAGCTGAATTAACCACAAGGAGTCTTGCTTGGCAGGTATATTCTTTCTTAGGGTTGACACCTTTAACCAAGCACACCCCATATACCTATTTGTGAAATTTCTTTAGAGCAAGGAACACATCTCATTTTTCTTTGTTATCCTCAGGCCCTAATATACAGAGGGCTATTCAAAGTGAAATTAACAGGTATGTTTTGAATAAATCTGAAATTAGAGTTTAACTCCAGTCTATTTGATTTCATTTCAGATATTTCCCCCCAAATCCTCCTCAGACACAGAGGCAGAAGAGGAGCTGTCTGGGGATGGGCTGGTTTTTCCCAGGGTTAGCAAACTTGATGAGTTCCTCAGCCCAGAGGAGACAGATTCTACTTCTCCTGCCTCAACTGGGAGCTTTCATGAGACCCTGCAAGTACTAAAGCAGAAAGGCAAGTGGTGCCTGTTGGAATCCCTTTATCAGTCTGACCCAGACAGTGATGAGAACCTCTCTGAAGATGATGAGGACCTGAAGAATTTCTTCCAAGACAAAGGCAGGGGGAAGCCACAGGTCCAGTACCTCCCGTCTCTGAGGTAAGGCACTGCAGTTCAATAGCTGCCTCGCTGCACAACTCTGACCAAATCATGTTGTTCTTCCCCAGTACAGCAAAGACCACTTCTGCAGCCATCACTTACCCTGGCTCCAGTTCAAAATGTTTTCAGATCCAAACATTTGTTCTGATTCCTACCCAGCAGTCCTAAATCACTTTAGGTAACCCTTAGTCACCAGAAGCATTGGAACTGAGTAAACAGATGCCTTTCTCAGACTACCTCCCTGAGAACGGCAACAAGGTACATTTACCTTGGCCAATCCCTGTTATGTATGTGTACTTGATCTCATTTAATATTTATTTTCTCCTCCCAATAACCCTGTAATTTTTTTTTTTTTTTGCCATCCTACAGATGAGGAAATTGAGGTTCCAAGAGAACCTTGCTCAAGGTCACATAGCTGGTAATTGTTTGAAGCAAGATTTGAACCTGGCTCTGACCCTAAAGCCCTGCTCTGCACCATTGTGCTGTTCTCTCTCCAATATGAAAATTAATTAGAGTGCAAAGTGGCAATTCTTAGATCAGTTTTGAGAAGAGACTTCTTACTAAGGCTGCTAGATGGCCTGCGGGAAGGAGGGAGAAAGGCAAAGCCTTAGAGGTCTGTGGGGCTGTGATGCTGGGCTGAGAAGCTAGGTGCAGCCTGCTAGAAGGAAGAGCAGGGAGGGTATGGGAGGCACCAGGCCTCCGGGCTGCCCTGTCCAGAGCTGCTTTCCCCCCCAGGTGTGTCTCCACAAGGCGCTGCAGTTCCCTGAGCAACCTAGCCTCCGACGTTGCCAAGGTTCCATCCCAGCCACCCTCAGCCTCCAGGCCTCCTTCCCAGCACAGAAGCATCAGCTCCTGGGCGTCCTCCATCACCGTTCCTCAGCCGTTCCGTATGACACTGCGTGAGGCCCGGAAAAAGGCCCAGTGGCTGGCTTCACCTGCCTCCTTCGAGCGTGAGAGGCAGCAGGCCCAGAGGCAGGGCCAGGAGGAGGCAGAGTGCCACCGGCAGTTCCGGGCACAACCTGTGCCCGCGCATGTCTACCTGCCCCTCTACCAGGAGATCGTGGAGCGCAACGAGGCCCAAAGGCAGGCGCGGATCCAGAAGAGGAAGGAAGTGCTCCTCTCGTCCTTCAAGCCCTTCAGCTTCCTGGAGAAGGAGCAGCAACAAAAAGAAGCCACTCACCAGAGGGAATTGGCTGCCACTGCTAAGGCCAAGGTCTCCAAGCCGAAAGCCACCAGAAGGATCCCCAAGTCCATTCTGGAGCCAGCCCTCGGGGACAAACTCCAGGGTAAAGACAACCTGTGCCCTTGCTGCCTTCTGCCTGGGGTTACCAGGAAGTGCCAGGGGGTTTAGTGAGGCTCAGGGGTCAGCCTGGCTTGGAGATGAGCTGTTCAGGTAGACCCGCTAGAGGCCACACTCAGTGCAGGCCATGGGTGGGCTTGGCTCTGTTTACACAATGGGGGAGTCCTGTAATGAGCCAAGAGTGAGGGGAGGTCCTCCAGCACCCCTCGGGTTTGTCCTGTTGACCTCTTTCTCAGTGAGTGGATGTGAAGGCCTCTGTGGCAGCACAGATGTGAGAGAAGGAACCAATGAGATATCCAAGGACCAGCTTGGGCCAGTGCCACCAGTAGCCAGCTTCCCTGAGGAAAGCCCACACCCCGCCCTCATCCTAGTGAGGTGTATCTCAGTTAAGGGACTCAGGCTTTATGTGCTTATTCAATTAACATGTGCCACTCCCCAGGCACTGTTCTAGGGTGAATAAACAGACTTGGAGTTTTTGGACACAGGAGGGAGACAGATAATATGCAAATAATTACAAATAGGTTGAGTCATTTGCAAGGATTAAAAGGGGAAGCCTAGGGATTCCTATGGAGCATATAATAGAGGGACTTACCAGGCAGAGCTATTGCATGGGGGTAAGAAAAAGCTGAGCACATTCAAGAGATGGAAAGGTACAGGGTCGAGAGAAGAGGGAGAATGAGGGAGAGGCAGGCACAGGCCAGATCTGGGGCCTTGCGAGGGAGTCTGGACTTTATCCCAAGGGCACTGGGGAGCCACTGAAGGGTTTTCAGGAGGGTGGCTCATGAGCAGATAGTTTAGAAAGATCACTCTGATTGCTGTGGAGATAATTAGAGGGGGAGGGATGCTGATCTAACTAGGCTATTTCAACAATTCAGTTGAGAAATGATGAAATTAGTAGTAGAGATGAGGAAGAGTCTGGAATGGAGAGAAGGTAAAGACGAGGAGACAGCTGAACATGTGACTGATGAGATGAGAGTGGGCGGAGTCAAGAATGGTCTGGGCAGTGGGCGCGGGCAGTTCGGTGGATGGTGGGGCCTTTCTCTGAGAAGAGGAGCAGGTGACTGGCCCATTCCTCCTGCTTCGTCTCAGAAGAAGGAACCATAGAAAGTGCTCAGTAAATGTAAATGATAGCTGCTTCTGCAACCTGACTGGTACATGGCAGTGGTGTCCTGGTCAATGTTTGTTAACAGGCTCTCCAGGAAAAAAAAAAAACAAGCTGATTTGCAGTGTTAGTCATTTTCTGTGGTATAAATACCCCTATCCTGGCCCATTTCAGGCTTCCCACATTCCTGCAGGCTCACAAAATTCCTGAAAAGTGAACAATTGGCTCCAGCACACTACTGCTAGTATCTAAAAGAGAAGTACTCCACACTTTTCGGTATGAGTCTTGCCTAGTCACTTCTCACCCATCACCACCCTGATTTTCTCCCCAGAAGCTGAACTCTTCAGGAAAATCCGCATCCAGATGAGAGCCCTGGACATGCTCCAGATGGCCTCCTGCCCCATTACCTCCTCCAGTCTCAGGGCTGACCCACGGCTTCGCACAGCCACCCGAACCCAGGAGGAAAAGCTTGGGTTTCTGCAGACTGACTTCGGATTCCAGCCTCGGGTGAATCCTGCTGTCCCTGACTATGAAGGCATTTACAAGGCCTTCCAGAGAAGAGCTGCCAAGAGAAGGGACATCCGAGAGGTGACTCGCAACAAGCCCTTCCTGCTGAGAACTGCCAGCCTGCATCGCACTCAGCGGCCCTGTGATGCTGCAGCCTCTGGAAAGAGGGTGAGTGCCCAGGCAGCTGCAGGAGGCTCAGGGTCTGAGGCCTGAAATCGAAGGAGAGGCCAGGTCTTATTGGAAGGCACTTCTCATGACATTTCTATCATAAAAAAAAACAAAAACAGGAAACAAAAAAACACCCCTTTAGCTGTAAGCAGAACCACAATACCTATAAACTTAAGACCACAAGAATACTTCTTTTCCTTCCCTCTCTCTAGAGCAGCGGTTCTCAACCTGTGGGCCGCAACCCTTTGAGGGGTGAACGACCTTTTCACAGGGGTCGCCTAAGACCATAGGAAAACAAAAAGATATTTACGTGACAATTCATAACAGTAGCAAAATGACAGTTACAGAGTAGCAATGGAAATAATTTTATGGTTGGGGGTCACCACAAACATGAGGAATTGTATTAAGGGGTCGCAGCATTAGGAAGGTTGAGAACCGCTGCTCTAGAGATTGCAGAAATAAGTTCAAGTAGGTCTGGAAAGCAGAGAGTTGGGATCAATTGTTGTGTCCCTATACCAGTTCCAAAGAACTCTTCTCAGTTGATTAAAATCTTTGATTGATAATCCAAGTCTGTCCCAGTTACTAAACTTGAGATCTCATTACCCTTTCCATTAATCCCAGGAAAAAAGATTCTCATTCTGACTAGTCCTTCACTGAAATTGATTTCTAGTTAAGATAGAAACTAATCACCCGTGCTGTCCCACCAATACCAGCCTTCATTTCCTCTAGGACTCTCCACAGCCACTGGCCACACCCCGGCCAAGGAGTCATTCTCTGAGTGGCCTGGCTTCCCTCTCTGCCAACACCCTCCCTGTGCATATCACAGATGCCACCAGGAAGAGGGAATATGCCGTCAGGTGAGTGGTCAGCCTGCAGGAGACTTCTAATGCTCAGGTCTTGACCCAAATGATGGAAACCACCCCTGCTGCTGGGCCTCCTCTCCTGTTATCAGAAGGACCTAAAGGGGTGGAAGGGAATTCTCTGATCAGGACAGGAATACAAGCGGCCCTCCACATTGGTGCTGGAGAACACCTAGCCATCATTCAGCAAATAGTCATGGGTGGCTTACGCTGTGCCAGGCATAATGTTAAGGCTGGAGATGCTTTGTGGAACCTATAGTTTAATACCTAGTCTGACATACCGACAAGCAAAGAAGCAACTACCGTATTTTGTGAGTAGAGCAATGATGCGGGGATACAGGGGACAGTGGGGGCACTAGGTAGCCTGGGGCAGGGGTCTCTTGTAATAGATGTCTAACATGAAACCTGAAGAAAGAGGAATGAGCCAAAGCCTGGAAACAAGGTTCCAGAGTAAAAAACATGGGTGAAGACTCACAGGTGAAAGGGAAAGGAAGCCATTAGGAACAGGAATTCAGAGAAGCATGACGACAGGTGACTGACCCTACCAGAGTTGAAGCGTCCATTGCACATATTTGATTCTCTGAGATTCATCTTAGGGAACAATCAGAAGTCAACTGGGAATCAGGAGGCTCCTTATTTTTAACTCTTTCACTGACCTATCATGGTATTGTTCTCATGGAACCAACAGGAGTCTGAGCTGAAGTAAGCAGAGGACTCACATCTTAGTGCCTCCCTGTGGGGCTCACGGAGGACTAAGTACACAGAAATTGCATTTAGAATCTGAGGGATAGTCCCGTTTTCCTCCAATTTCATTGGGCTACTAAATCAAGGCTAAATGCCTCAATATCCTGAGGTCCCAATAAGCTAGGTCTCATGAACCAGAGGCTGGCCCACCTGTAGAGGATGTCTACACCTACTTCTGAGCAATAGGGTTTGACATATTAGCATATTAAACACTCATGCTCTCTTCTCCTAATCTGTCCATTTGAATGTAAACATCCAAATGCAAGAATCTTGACTTTTTTCTTTTGGTAGAACTCTCCACAGTACCTGGTAGAAGAATACACAAACTAAGTGCTAAAAGTTGACCGCAAATTGTATGTGCATTGGAGGTCCATCTCTAGTTCTCTGTGGAAATGCAGACTGGTATTCCCAAAGGACCAGACACCCTCCAGCCCACTGTTTATAGCACAGTTTATACACCAAGGGCAGAGGCTTGGGAGTCAGATACCCTGGTTCTAATCTTGGCTTTTCCTCTGGCATGCTGGGTAGCTTTGAGCAACTGGGTTACCCGCTCTGAGACTCTATCTCCTTGACTATAAAAAGGGGGCTTAGTTCACAGGACAGTTATGAGGTTTACACAAGTGGATATAAAGCACTTGTGAGCCATCTGCACGTGGTTCAGGGTGGGTAGCTCAGTAAATGGTAGCTATTAGTATTTTGTTTCCAAATAGGCAAGAAGCCTGAATGTTTGGCTATTTAAGAATATTTTAACTCACGTTTTCCAGTTCAATAAATGAACTTCTCCTGGGGTAGAATATCACTGTATCCAGAGTGCAGGGAAGACATCGTGTAGCTGTACATTTAATGTCAGAATCTTCATCTTTCTGAAATGCCAGGGAGGTAAATTACCTACCCCATTCATAGAAACCAACTTTCCAGAGAGGTTACTAATATTGCTTTTAAATATTCCCAAGTTGGTGGTCATCTATATTCCTTTTTTGCCTTCTCCCTTTAGAAGTTCACTTGAAAAGAAGGACAGAGCAGATGAGAGTACTCAGTGGCTGGAGATGCACAAAAAGAAGTGTCAAGCAATGTCTAAGTCCGTGGCCTTGCGTGCAAGAGCCATGGATCCCCATAAAAGCCTGGAGGAGGTGTTCAAAGCAAAGCTGAAAGAAAACCGGTCAGTATCCTCCATGCGTCAAAGGGGTGACTGTCTTGGGATCCAACATATCATTGGCCTTGAAAACAGCAAAATGGAGCTATTAGGGTCAGTTCCCATAATTTTATGTAAATTTTTTTTTTTTTTTTAGCTGAGCCATCCTGCTACCTGTTGGCAGCTCAGCGGCTGCTCAGCTCGGGCTGGACTCGAACCGCTGTTGCTCAGAGCTCAAACTCTTGAGCGAGCTCTTAACCAACTGAGCCACTCGGCCGGCCCTAGTTCCCATAATTTTAGTCACGGGTTTTGCCAGGCAGTTAGGAATTTACAGTGTCCATGGGAGTTATTCTGCTTAACTGGAACTAAGGGTATTCTGGATTGGAAAAAGGCAGAATTCATTTTAAACATCTTGTTAATTCCAGGAATAATGACCGTAAAAGAGCCAAAGAGTATAAGAAAGAATTGGAGGAAATGAAGAAGAGAATACAAATGAGGCCCTATCTCTTCGAACAAGTTACCAAGGTAAAAAGAAACCATCATTCATTTTCTGTCTTGGATGAAAAGGCTTAGTAATTAGGAAACAGTTTAATATCTGAATTAAACATTTCCTTGAGGCTCAGATTCTAAATTGGGCTCATTTTATTACTACCATGTTTCCCCAAAATAAGTCTAAGACTGGACTCCAAAGGCATCTATAAGGGGATATTTCACTTCCTTGAGTGTCTAGCTTTCAGTTTGAATCAGAGTGGGGATTAGATCTCAGGCACATAGTGACAGTTTGCCTGTGTTAGTAAGAACATCTTTAACTTACTAATGTGACGGAAAATCCAGTCTCTTCTGCTGTCTGGAGCCACTGCTCATAGTGCAGAGCAGACCTCTCTCCTCCTGCTGCTGTGGCACATTCATAGGTCTCCATAGGTTGGGATGCTCACAAGCACCCCACAAAGCCCTTTCCAGATTAAGTGCCTTTCAGGCTGGAAGAATCACTTGAAGATGTTCACTAGACTTTTAGGGAAGTCAGACTCCCTAAGGAAGCTCTGGAGTTACTTGAACCACCTTAGAAAGGCCACCGTTCCAGGCAGCATTGGGTTGCATCAGCTTCTATGGACCCCTGTCCTCTCCCGAGTTCCAACACAGAAGTTGGGGTCTCTAGTGACCTAGTTCCAATTGCTGGGCATTATCTCCATGTTCTAGCTAACGCATTATCTAGGCATCTTCTGGGTCCAACTCCGTTCCACCCACATACCTATCACACACTGGACTGTCTCAGATTTACTCAGTAACTTGCACTGTTCAAAATCGCTGTGCTGATCTTTCCTCATGTTAATTTTTTTCAAGCAGGCCCATGCTCAGATCTTTCAACACTCTAGGAAAAATGCAAAGTATATGATTTTGCTTCAAACATTTAAACCAACGAAAAATAACCTTTTTCTTGTCCACATGCAGACCATCTATCCTGTGAAGAGTGTTAACAATGCAGCTTATTTTGTTTTATCTTTGTGTTCCTGATGGTTTGGTTGCTTTTAAATCTTCAGTTTTTAGTTCATCATTTTCATCTGGGTCTCACTTGGACTTCCAAAAATCTAAGTCCTTGCTTCTCAAAGGTGTGGCTCCCTAATCAACAGCTGGCATCTTCTGGGACTGTTAGAAATATAGAATTGCAGGCCCCGTCTGAGACCTACCAAATAAGAATCTGCGTTTTAACAAAATCTTCAGGTAGTTCCTATGCACTTTAAGGCTTGAAAACAAAGCTCTAGTAATTTTCATGCAAATCTGTGTCCACTAACTGGGGGTGGGGTGGGTGTTGTGAGCAGTACTGTAAGGATACAGGTTAAGCAAGTAATTTAGAATTACCAAGTAATTCACAAGACATCTACAGCATATTAATCTCCATTCCACAGGACCTTGCCAGGAAAGAAGCAGAACAACGGTATCAAGACACCCTAAAGCAGGCCGGGCTGGATGAAGACTTTGTGAGGAACAAGGGTCAGGGCACCCCGGCTCTACCCAGGCGGGAGCAGTCAGAAGTCCATGATTATCCCAGGTAATCCAAGATGCTGCTATCATCCTGCAGCTCTCTAAGGTGCCATCCCTAGTAATGCCGCCGGGAGGAAACTTTAGAACAGCCTCTCATATTTTGAGATCACAATCCCGTACTTACAGAATACGAATCCAGAGATCTCCAAGTAACACATTTGAATTTGGAGAGGACAGTAGTGAATAAAACATAACCACAGTATATTTGGTTTAGATTCCTAAAATTTGAAACAGATCATTTTTCCATTCCAGTTCCAATGCCATCAGTCAAAAGTATTTCCACTCCACTTTTGAAGAAAAATCATGTGTTTTTTTACATCCCATAAAAGGATAAAACTGTTGTTCTAGCACTCTTAAGTACTGCATTAGCATCACTTCCTCTACTGAGATCATAAGTCAAAAAGTATAGCATCATTATTCTCAATTTTGTTTTGCTTCTTAAATTCTAATGTTCCCTTCCCCTAATGCCTATCCCCGTTTTCCACCTAGAAATTTCCCTTTACACCACATATAAAATAATGAAAATGTTGACACCATCCTTAAGCTTTACATAATACTTTAATTAAAATTTTTATTTCATGTTTTAATTTATTCTGCAGCACCCATGAAACTACAAAACTCGGCATCAGAAATCCACAGCAGGATTTAGAAGAATCTCTAGAATAGCCTACAAGCCCCAAGAAAGAACTGGAGGAGCTATCTTATGAATTGCTAGGTAATCTCAAATCACTTATTTAATCAGTACACTTAAAAGTACTGCTTTTCAATATTCAGCAGCTAACTTGGGATTGAATCACGACAAAACTTGGGTTTTGAGTCATGGCTACTCTTGGAGAATGGGGGAAAGTAGCAGATAACAGGAAATGGTTCAAGTAAATCAAAGAGAAGCAGCTCAGGGTGGGGGATCAGAGCCGAGTTAAGGGTTCTTGCCTTGTGCCTCATAAACTATAGGTACTTTAAAAAAGTGCACAAGCCCAAATGGCCTACAGGGACTATTCAGGAAACAAATGGGTCAGACGGGCTGGGTGTAAGATAGTAGAAACTGGAGTCTCTGCTAGAATAGTTCCAGAATTGTCAGATCAACTGCATTTTCAACAGAAGCCAGAAATATGCATGTTGGCAACTAATTAAAAATTACTTGAAAATATTATATGAGCAAAACAAAACACCTCAGGGATGACAATTTCATAACTTCTAGTACAGGGTTTTTCAACCTCAGCACTACTGACTTTTTGGACAAGATACGTCTTTGTTGGGTGTAGGGAGAGGGCGCTGTCCTGTACACTGTAGGATGTTTAGCAGCAGTCCCTGCACTCTACTCACTAGATGCTTGGTACACCTCTTCGCAGTTGTGACAACCAAAAATGTCTCTAGGTATTGCCAATGTCCCTGGAGCGGGTTGGGGGTGGGGGCAAAATGTCCCCAGTTGAGAACCACTGCTCTAGTATAAAAGTAAGGCTACAGAAAGAACTGGCATTTTAAGAATACAAGTAATTAACATGAACTCAATCTACATAGCACAGGATGACTATATATGTCATTAACAAATCAAGAACTATAATGTAATTACTTTATTTAAAAAGCAGTTTTTCCCAGTTATATGTTTAGAATGTGCCACTGTGTGTGTGTAAGCATGAGGTTCATTTTAAATAAATTTGAAATTTCTCTGACATCCATGATTTTCTACTAGTACGATCTTTGGAATACTTTTCTTCTCACCAATTATATTCTCTCCCAGTAGCTGTAGACAGGATGATAGCAAGAGTGTCTACTCTAACAGAAACACCCTTCTCATGGTTTTTTTTTTTTTAACTTTCTGGGAAAATTCAAAAGTATCTGTTCTTACTGCCAACTTTATCCAGACTCACACATGGTCCCTGTTGGTGATGACACAGTGATACTCTGATAACTACCATCTGGGTTTGCTAGTTAAGAGATGAAGATGTTCCTGTCATGTTCCCCCAAGACTCCTGAGTTCAGTTTCACCTGCATGGAATCCTAAGAGTAAACCAGTATCTTCTTTTAAAGACTGAACATTCTTAATCTCTTTATGAAAACAAATTTTGTCCAAAACAAGGAGCCAAAGAACTGACTGGGCTGTTCATTTATTTAAAGGGAAAACAACTGAAGCTCTGAATCATGTGATTTTTAACTTAAAAAACAAAAAAACTTTTTCACATGCTACTGTATGTTCCATAAACAAAGAAAACAAAGTGACCAAGTAGAGGTGTGTGGGACAAGATAGTACCTCAGCCTGGGCCAAGGAGGGATTCAAGTAATTTATTTTTTTGCAGCCCAGTGGAGGAGAGTCTTACTCAGGTTGCTAAAGGGAGAATGTCACAACAAAACTGACATCACTCCCTTCTCCAAAGCAACAAGGCATCTTGAAAGCTCAACTTCTTGGTGAAGTTTTATGGTTGGTGGCAGGACTTAGTCCATCCATGTGAAAAGACAGCTGAGTCTGGGATGAAAGCTCTTCAAAGGAAAACCTTCTCTCAACAGTCACACTGAGAAACTTCAGCCAACACATAATCAAACTCACTTCTGGGAGAGGTCCACCCCAAATTTTTGCATTGAGAAGAGAGGTAGGTACCGTTACCCAGCTCACATTCACTGCTTTCTTCTTTGTCTGGATCAGATGGTAGTCTGAAGAGAAGCTCTCCTGCATTCATCTTCTATGCCAGGCAAGATGAACAGAGGAAAAAGTGGGGTCTTGTCATTCACAGATTCATTTTGGTTCTGGCAGATTGTGAGCCATAAGCAACCTGCTCCCACTGTATGCACTCTGGGATCAGACAGAGCTGCTTTTCCAGGAGTCAGCACCCATGCTCATGTCCGTCTTTCAGTTAAATCTCCTTGGTTTAGTAACTGTAAAAGAGTAAAATGAAATCTGGAATAGGCTACCACTGAATAAAAGGAAAAATAAATTCATACTAAGTAAAAGGTTTATGAATGGGAGGAATGTGCTGCAGGGATGAGTCAAGGATATCTAGTTCCAAAGCAAGAGGCATGCGTAAACTGATAGATCTCATTCACACACTGGCCTTGAGACAGCACTCAGACACTTCATAATTAATACTGGCATTTTCACTATGGCAATAAAATACCGAGTCTATAAGCCAAACTGTTGTTTGTGTAGTCACGTATTCACTAGTCAGTGATGGAGGCATCTATATAAGTTACAGGGAAATCAGAAACGGTGGAACAAAAATCTTATGTCAGTGTTAGCCCAAGAACAGATTGCAGGCTCAAGTAGAAGTAAAAGGAACAAGAGGCTATTATTCCCAAAGAGTTCTATATGAGAACTAGAACCCACTCCAAAGAAATCCAGGGATTCCCCGGGCTTAACAGAATACCTTTCCTGTGATGAAGGGAGACAAGCCTGAGAGACTCCAACAGGATGGCAGCTAACACGGACATTCTAAGCTACACTGAAGGCTTCTGTTAAAAGGGAGTGTTGTACAATAACTGATGAAATTGGGTTCCATTTTATTATGAAAAGGAAACGAGACAGGAATAATAGTGAAATTCAGAATAAAATTGGACTTATGAAACCTAATTAGATTAATTCTTGAGCTGGAGATCTATTTACTTGGTGATCTCAGTTTGGATGAAGGTAATTTACATAGAATATGGAATTTAAAGAAATTTAAAATTTAAATAAACCACAGATTTCATTTGATGCTGTGTGGTAGGGATATAAGAATGGTATGATTTTAATCTAGGTCACGATCCAGATGTTTGCACTCAAATTTAGCAATAGCACTTTATGAGAACTGTTATAGAATTTGTAATTTGTTTTCTTTCCTCTTTGTTTTATTTGGGGAACATTCTAACATATAGTCAAGCTAGCTGCCAATCAGTTATACTGGTTCTTGAGTTCAAGAATGTGAACTCAACATGACATGGAACCCCACATGGGATGACCTGTAGTTGGCAGGAGGTCAAAAAGCCTTGGGGTCCCAGTGGGCCTGCACAATGAGTCCTCTGATTCTTAGGAGACCTGGCGATACTGAGAAAAATAGAAATTGTCCAATATGAACCATCTGAATAAGATGTAGTTTTCATATATTTTCAATGATAATTTCTGATACTTGATTTGGTTATTCTCTGATATTCTTTTTTTTTAAAGATTTTTATTGGGGAATTAGGGGAAGGGGAACAGACAAGTTGCTGTCCTTTTGTTCTTCAGTCTAGTTGTGGAGGACGTTGCTTCAGTGGCCCAAGTTGGCACCATCATTGCGCTCTTCCCAGGCGAGGCAGATCAGTCGCCGGCTTCTGGACGGCCGCTCACTCCGGCTGCTGGCCGCTCATGCTGGCTGCTGGCTACACACGGTAGCCCATGGCAACCCACTGCAGCAGGGGCTGCAGCCTACTCTGTCGCAGGTGACTCACAGCAGCCCAGCTCCAAGTTGAGCTGTTGTTCAGCATCTTAGCTGTGGAGGGCAGTGTCACTGGCCCTCATATGTGGGATCCGAACCGGGGCCCTCTGGCATCCCAAGCCAGCTCTTAACCAACGTGCCACTCGGCCGGCCCTCTGGTATTCTTAAAAAGTTTATTTTTAGAGCATATTTACAGGAGTCCAATTAGAAGTGCAACAGTAGATTCTTACAGGTCTGATATATAATGCATGGTGATCGCCAAAAATAGAATTTGGAATGGGCATGTGTTGTTTTAAGGGTTGCAAACAGCCTTCTCCTTCTCTGGCATCCAAGAATCCCTAAGGAATCAACATTCCTCACTCACTGGAGGAATGGTCAGTTAGTACCCAGACCTTGGATGAGGAAGAGGACAGCCTGGAGCCTTGAGGGGCTTGTAGCTTGACAACAATGAAGGTATTGGAGGATGTGATCGGCCTACTTTGAGAAGGAAAAGGAGGGAGTGAGCAGTGGAAATGCCTGTGATAAAAGTAGATAATAATGGTAACAATGAAGGAAACACAAAAGAAGTGAGGCTCAGACCAAGGGTATGTTTATAAATACACAAGGACCCATGAGGAAAAAGTGATAGTGCAGGATTTTTTAGCTATATCTACGTTTAGAACTTTATACTTTGTGTTAATATTTTTCTATTAAGTGTCTGGGTCTTCCATCGTGAAACTAGGTACTTAGGGCCTGTATGCTTTTACTGGCCTCCTTGGGTGAAGGTTGTTTTCTTTTTTTTGTTAGGTGGTCTGTGATATTGTGTCTGCCTGAGGCTGTGAGTGGGCATTACCTGAAGTCAATTCCAAGAGCCATGTGCCTAGGTTCAAGAGAACAAATGCACTATTACTGGACTTTCTGCATACATAAATCTGACCATGTCATACCCCGCTTAACACCGTGCAGTGGCTCCCCATAGTCCCCAGGATAAAATCATGTCCTGTAAGACCCTTCAAGAGAAGGACTAGCTTATCTTTCCTGCTCTCATTTTTCCATTCCATGCCCATCTCTCCATTCCACGTCCCATCATACTCAACACTTTGTGGTCCTATAGTCATGCCCTGCTCCCTCTTACCTTCTGCCTTTGTAACACATTGCTACCTTTATGCCTGTTTTCTTCTAATCCCTTCCACTTGTGCATCAAGATCATTGCTATTCATCCATCAGGTCTCAACTTAAACTCTAAAACTTACTACCTGACTTGCCCCAAGACTAGCACTTACTACACTGTACAAATATTGCTAGCTTATTATTGATCTGTCACCTTTCCCATTCTAACTTCTCTGTACAGCACCACTACAGAGGCACTATTTATATAGTTATGGAGCTATAAAAGGTAGAGGTCCTAACTCTAAGTTCTTTGAGGCAGAGATTATATTTTATTTACTACTGCATAACTAGTACCCAGCACAGTGCCTCATACATATTAAGTACATCATATCTGTTGACTGATTAAGCTTTTATACATCTGGTATTTATTTGTAGTAACTTGGGTTGCTTCAATTTTAATTTGGGTGTGATATAATTATAAACAAAATCCTTATTTGTTAAAGAGGTGTATACTGAAATATTTACAGATGAAATGATATGTCTGTGATTTGCTTTTAAATACTCCACATAAACAAAACAGCAACGACAAAAACTAGAAGGGAAGAGAGAAAATACCATGGTAGAAAGTTAGTTATTCAAGCTGGGTGATAGGTACATGTTGCTCATCATACTATTCTCTCTCTCACTATACTCACTGAAAACTTCCATAATAAAAAATTTAAAATAGATAAATGAAGAGGGGAAAAAATAGATGGAAGTCTCCATAGGTGAGACATGTTCCAAAGCGGTAACCAACAGAAGGTAACTTAGGAAAGAACCAATGGATGTGTGTGTTATGTGCCGCTGAGTCAGCTCCAACTCCTGGCGACCCTATGAATGAGTGGTGTCCAGTGTCCTGTCCTCAGCAGCCCTGCCCAGCTCCTGTGGCCTCATGCCTATGGCTTCTTTTATGGAGTCAATCCACCTCATATCTGGTCTTCCTCTTTTCTTGCTGCCTTCTATTTTCCCCAGCATTGCTGTCTTTTCTAAAGAACCCTGCCTTCTCACGATGTGCCGAAGTAGGACAGCTTCTGTTTTGACATATTTGCCTCCAGCAATGTTTCAGCCTTAATTTGCTTTAGGACCCACCTATTCATCTTTCTGGTGGTCCAGGGTATCCATACAGCTCTCCTCCAACACTATATTTCAAATCAATCAATTTTTTTCCTATCAGCTTTCTTCATTACCCAACGTTTGTATTTGTACATAGTAACTAAGAACATAAGAGTGTGGATGATCTTAGCCTTGGTCTCTAATGACACATCTTCTCTCTTGTTGATCTTTCCAATGGATGCAAATAGCAAAAACTTTCAATATAACATAAGCAATACTTAGACAATTGGTCACAATGGTGAACACCAGGAAAGGTTCTGGCAGAAACATTACATGCATGCCTAGAGGCCTATGATCCTGGATATCCCCAGAAATATTACAAAATAACTGAGAATATTCAATGGTGGGTGCAGAGTCATTTGAACGCTATAATAGCTGATGGTGGTATAAAGGTTATGAAAGGAAGGGGAGGTGCAGCCGAGTGGCGCGTTGGTTAAGAGCTGGCTTGGGACTCCAGAGGGCCCCGGTTCAGATCCCACATATGAGGGCCAATGACACTGCCCTCTACAGCCAAGATGCTGAACAACAGCTCAACCTGGAGCTGGGCTGCTGTGAGTCGCTGGCGACGGCGTAGGCTGCAGCCCCTCACCCAGGAAGAGCGCAATGATGGTGCCAACTTGGGCCAGTGAAGCAACGTCCTCCACAACTAAACTGAAGAACAAAAAGACAGCAACTTGT